TGGGCTTGGAACACAGATGTGTGCAGTGTGCTGTAGTGGAAGTTTTGTATTATAGTTATCCTGTTTCCATTTTGGTATACCCTAGCCAGAATTGAATGTATTAGATAAAATGTGATGATCTTGTTCAATCTGAAAACCCCTTTGCCCCCCTCCCTCCCCCCTTTCTTTTTACTTAAACATTTTTATGATGATTTAGATGGAAGTTGGTTTTTGTCAGTTAACATTGGTTCCAGTCCCTCAAACTGTTCATACCTGCTTTATAACATCCACTGTACTAATCCTCCTTCAAATTGGGGTGGGGAGTGGAGGCACAGTTTAGTTACGTCCTCAAGATAAAAGTCTTGGTGAAAAACAAATAAATGTTCTTTAGTTATTAAAAAAAAAAAGACAACAAAACACAGAAAATGTACAAAAACCAGGTGGGATCACAAGACAAAATCCAACTTTCTCTTGTATACAAGAGATACATTTAAAACAAAGTGATTCTGAATGGTTAACAATAAAGAAATGTGCAAAAATACACCAAGAAAAGACCAACTTGCCATCCCCCAAAATTCAAGAGCCATAATATTAATTGCAGACAAGGCAGAAATCAGATCAGAAAACAATAAACAAAGCACCTTATACTATTAAAAGACACAATTCACAATAAAGATTTAGTAGTTATGAATATCCATGATAGCAAACTCTACAAAGTATAAATTCAAGAATAAATAAGAAGATAAAAGCAAAAATAAACTAGTATTTTCATACTTTTATTAACTTTCAGAGCATGATAGATCAAGTTAATATAAAAAATCATACAGAAATATAGATCAATGGAACAGAATAGAAAGCCCAGAGATAAATCCACGAACCTATGGTCACCTTATCTTTGACAAAGGAGGCAAGGATATACAATGGAAAAAAGACAACCTCTTTAACAAGTGGTGCTGGGAAAACTGGTCAACCACCTGTAAAAGAATGAAGCTAGAACACTTTCTAACACCATACACAAAAATAAACTCAAAATGGATTAAAGATCTAAATGTAAGACCAGAAACTATAAAACTCCTAGAGGAGAACATAGGCAAAACACTCTCCGACATAAATCACAGCAGGATCCTCTATGACCCACATCCCAGAATTTTAGAAACAAAAACAAAAATAAATAAATGGGACCTAATGAAACTTAAAAGCTTTTGCACAACAAAGGAAACTATAAGCAAGGTGAAAAGACAGCCCTCAGATTGGGAGAAAATAATAGCAAATGAAGCAACAGACAAAGGATTAATCTCAAAAATATACAAGCAACTCCTCCAGCTCAACTCCAGAAAAATAAATGACCCAATCAAAAAATGGGCCAAAGAACTGAACAGACATTTCTCCAAGGAAGACATACAGATGGCTAACAAACACATGAAAAGATGCTCAACATCACTCATAATCAGAGAAATGCAAATCAAAACCACAATGAGGTACCATTACACACCAGTCAGGATGGCTGCTATCCAAAAGTCTACAAGCAATAAATGCTGGAGAGGGTGTGGAGAAAAGGGAACCCTCTTACACTGTTGGTGGGAATGCAAATTAGTACAGCCACTATGGAAAACAGTGTGGAGATTTCTTAAAAAGCTGGAAATAGAACTGCCATATGACCCAGCAATCCCACTTCTGGGCATACACACTGAGGAAACCAGATCTGAAAGAGACACGTGCACCCCAATGTTCATTGCAGCACTGTTTATAATAGCCAGGACATGGAAGCAATCTAGATGCCCATCAGCAGACGAATGGATGAGGAAGCTGTGGTACATATACACCATGGAATATTACTCAGCCATTAAAAAGAATTCATTTGAATCAGTTCTAATGAGATGGCTGAAACTGGAGCCCATTATACAGAGTGAAGTAAGCCAGAAAGATAAAGACCATTACAGTATACTAACACATATATATGGAATTTATAAAGATGGTAATGATAACCCTATATGCAAAACAGAAAAAGAGACTCCGATGTATAGAACAGACTTGTGGACTCTGGGAGAAGGCGAGGGTGGGATGTTTCAAGAGAACAGCATCGAAACACGTATATTATCTAGGGTGAAACAGATCACCAGCCCAGGTTGGGTGCATGAGACAAGTGCTCGGGCCTGGTGCACTGGGAAGACCCAGAGGGATCGGGTGGAGAGGGAGGTGGGAGGGGGGACCGGGATGGGGAATACATGTAAATCCATGGCTAATTCATTTCAATGTATGACAAAAACCACTGCAATGATGTAAAGTAATTAGCCTCCAACTAATAAAAATAAATGAAAAAAAAAAATTTTTTTTTAATTAAAAAAAAATAAAATAAAATAAAAAATCATAAGTAAGGAAGAGAAGACCTAACCAGGAGCAGTAAAGTAGATTTTAGACAGACTTTATTTTCTTGGGCTCCAAAATCACTGTGAATGGTGACTGCAGCCATGAAATTAAAAGATGCTTGCTCCTTGGAAGAAAAGTTCTGACAAACCTAGACAGCATATTCGAAAGCAAAGACATAACTTTGCCAGCAAAGGTCCGTATAGTCAAAGCTATGGTTTTTCCAGTAGTCATGTACAGATGTGAGAGTTGGACCATCAAGAAGGCTGAGCACTGAAGAACTGGTGATTTGAACTGTGGTGTTGGAGAATCCTCTTGAGAGTCCCTTGGACTGCAAGGAGAACAAACCAGTTAATCCTAAAGGAAGTCAATCCCAAATATTCATTGGAAGCACTTATGCTGAGGCTGAAGTTCTAAAACTCTGGCTACCTGATGCAAATAGTCGATTCATTAGAAAAGATCCTGAAGCTGGGAAAGATTGAAGGCAGGAGGAGAAGGGGATGACAGAGGATGAGATGGTTGGACGGCCTCATTCACTCAATGGACGTGAATCTGACCAAAATTCTGGGAGATAATGAAAGACAAGGAAGCCTGGTGTGCTGCAGTCCATGGGGCTGCAAAAAGTCGAAAACAACTGAGTGACTGAACAACAAACAACCTATGCTATATCTTGATATAATAGGATTTACCTCCTTTTCAACTATCTGTGGAACAATTAGGAAAACTGGATTCCAAAGAAAATGTGAATAAATTACAAAAAGAAGAAATAATACCCATAATATTCCCTGAACACTATAAAAAAAACAAAAATTCGAAACAAAATTTAAAAAACAACTTTTTTTACATAGAAAATCTGTAACTCTTGCTTAAACAACTCTGGGGCCCATGTGAAAAATGAGCATGACTCACCCACATCTGCTTCATCGCAGGCATGAGTGTTTCTGACAATAAGGCATGTACACAGGCTTTTTTAATGTAGCATTTCTTATTAACGATTACATCCAAAATGTTCCTCTCACCAGAAGTCTCTTTAGAGTTCCTCTATTTTCTCAGTAAAATAAAGTCATCAACTGAGAGTAATGATGAGGAGTGAACTGTTGGAAGTTTGAAGGAAGAGGAAAATATATGAAACAGAGCTATAGAGAGAGTGGGGATTATGATTTTAAAACTTAGTAAGTGAGAAGTACAAAGGGAGGGTGGGAGGAGACTGAAAACTTGACAGGACGCTCAATAGACTATGGAGGTAAGGGTGAAGAACGACCAGTCTGGATCCTCTTTGGAAGTAAGCTGGAAACATCAGTAGCACTTGAAGAGTAAGATATCTGAAGTGGAAATTACGGGATTCACTGCAGGTACACAGAGTCAAGGGTACCACAGGATGGAAGACAAGATCTTTGGAAGAGAGATCAAAAAAGTTGAGAGGCCAGAAGTATTTAATGGGATGTTAATATACCTGACTAACGTATGTGGGACACAGACAGTGAGCCAGAAGCTATATTCTTCCAGGAGTTAAGCACAGTAACCAAAGGAACAACAGAGGAGTGGAAGAAGAAGTAATAGGTGGTACAGTCTGATGACCTAAGATTCAAAGCTGAGTGATTTCAGGGAGGATGGAGTAAAAACAGGAAATGGCAATAAGAGGTAAAGAGGATATATATATCAATTCTAGCCCAGCTGTACTTTGAGATAAAAAAGAAGGAATCACTAAAAAGGACTGCAGGGGAAACAGTGGAGTATTCAGGAGGGAGTCCTTTCCTGCACACACAAGCTCTCTCCTGTTGCTGCTAACAGTGATCTGCAAATGAGTCTTCTCACTGAGATTGCACAAGGACTCTAAATAATTGAATACAGTTATCTACACACAAAAGGGCCAGAAACTTGAGTTCATAATTCTGGCCAGAACTAGAAATGGAGTATGATCTTGAATCGAAATAGCAACCATAGTATATACATATTTGTAGACAAATTAAGGGGGGAAAAAAGCTTACATCTGTTTGAAAATGTCATAAAGAATTCAAAGAAAGAAAGTACCAGGAAAATAAATTAGAATATTTAAGAGTATAGTAGAGAAAGTCATATATGATTGTCCCAGTCACCTTCACACACCAGATATCATCTTTCATAGAAGCCAAAAGACGATCCTTGGGAAGCTTACTTTAGAAGAGTAATACATACACAGAGATACTGCAATAAGATTAGGAGCAAAACCCTGAAAAATGAAAAATCCTGAAGTCATGGAATGCATAGTAAAGATAACTGGGTTAATTTTAGCTCTCAATTCGTAAGTAAAATTCAAAGAAATAGCACCATCTATTGGAACTTCTCATATTTAAAAATACACATTCTCAATCCTTAGAAAATGTGTCTATAATGTAACATATCCACACATTTAGCTAAGAAAATAAATATTATAGTGCAATATTAACACAAAATTTAAAAGTTTATATTAAAAAATACTAATTCTTGGCTTGTAATTCTAATTTCAAATAACTAATCATTCTGATAAATTCAAATTAATATTATTTGAATAGATAATAATATATAATAGATATTTATATATCTATTGAATAATAGATAATTCAAATTATCTATTAAAGATAAAAATATTCTCAACCAATTAAAAAAAAGAGTATAGCTATATGTTCAAAGTAACTCACAGATATGGTATTCCTGAATGCTGCTTGTATAACCATATATTGCAGAATATCCAAATATTATGATCATGACAACATCTCTACTATCCAACTCCATAATGTGTGCAGAATGTCCCTCCACAGCATATTGCTGACCGTGTCCAAGCACAGTGGGAGATTTTGTACTCCACGACTGACTGTGTATGTTAAACACCCACAATTCATCGGTGACATTGCCATCACTTGTTTCAATTCTGCCTCCATACATAAAGATGTTTTCCTGTAAATTAAAAAACATATGTTAATTACAACATATTTATATCTTATCAAGATACATGAATTAAAGACTATGTTTAAACATTAAATTTTAGCAATTGCTCACAACATGCATAAGACATAGTTCTTATGTGTAAAAAGTCAAATGGGAACACTTGAGCAATGATGATTAATTCTTTTAATTACGAGAAGGGGGGAAAGCCACACTTTCAAAAAGTTACTTTAAGGTGTTTTAATACATATTATATGGCTAATTAACCATCCTAGTTGTTAAGTCCCTAGTTGTTACATCTAAATTTTACCATCTATTTGTACCGCCTTGTGCTAGTCTCATTCACTGTTTCCATCAAGCACTGTTCACCAGAAAAGTAGACACATTTGTTTATATTATGTGGAGTACATTTTTATTACCACTTCTCATGGCTATGAGCAGATACTTGAGAGCACTTATAAATTATAAAAATCATATGTGATTAAATCATACGTGATTGAAATGAATGATATATAAATCATTACTATTTCAATAACCTAAAAGGAGAAAAGAATTTCTTCAACTTAATAAAGAGCACCTAAGAAAAACACAAAGCTAATATTGTATTTAACGATAAAAGGCTGGATGTTTCACCATGGTCAGTTATAAAGATGCCTGCTTTTTGCCACTTATATTCAACACTGTACTCAAGACTTTTAGCCTGAGCAAATATGCAAAAACTGAATAAAGGCATCCAGATTGGAAAAGAAGAGTAAAATATTTCTATTTGTAGGTGATAGAAATTTGTATATAGAGAATCCTAAGAAATAAAAAAGTTAAAGAGTTACTGACTTCAGCAACACTGCAGAATAAAACATCAATGTTCAAAAAATCAATTTATATCTCTATACACTTGCAGTGAACAATCCAAAAATGAAACTTAAGTAAACAATTCAATTTACAAAGCATCAAAAAGAATAAAATAGGAATAATTTAACAAAAGAAACTCCAAATTTATACTGTGAAAGCTACAAATAATTGTTGAAAGATCTAAATTAATACAAAGACATCCTGTGTTCCTGGATCAGAAGACAATATTGTTGAGATTGCAGTACTCTCCAAACTGATCTACAGATTCAATGCAATCTCAGTTAAAATTCCAGATCTGTAGAAACTGACAAGTTGATTCCAAAAATTCATATAGAATTGCAAGAGATCCAGAATATTTAAACAACCTTGAAAAAGAAGAATAAAATTGGAGGATTAACACTTTTCAACATTAAAACTTTCTACAAAGCAAAAGTAATCAAGATAGCAAACGACTGGAAAAAAAATAAACACATAAATCAACATAACTGAGAGTCCAGAAAAAAAATCCATATCCTTACAGCTAACTGATATTTGACAAAAGTGCCAAGCCCATTTGATGAGGAAAGACTAGTTCCCTCAACAAATGATGCTAAGAAAAGAAGATAGTTACATGCAGAAGACTGAATCTAAATCCTTACTTCACAGAACATACAAAACAACTCAAAATGGATCAAAGACCTAAAAGTAAAAGCCAAAAAAACTATAAAACATTTAGAGAAAACACAAGCTAAATATGCATGACCTTGGATTTGACAACATATTCTTAGATATGACACAAAAATCACAAGCAACAAAGAAAAAGTATATATATTGGATTTCATCAAAGTTCAAAACTTCTGTGCTTCAAAAGACACCACCAAGAAAGTAAAAGTTCACAGAACGGGAAGAAATATTTGCAAATCATGTACCTGATAAGGGATCTGTATCTAGAACATATAAAGAACTCTGACATCTCAATGATTTTAAAATGGGCAAAGAACTTAAACAGACATTGCCTCAAAAAAAATACAAATACCCAAAAAAATCACATGACTATTAACATTTGTAGTCAACAGCAAAAGGCAAATCAAACATAAAATACCACTTCATACCCATTAGAATGGCTATAATCAAAAAGACAGTAACTAGTGTTGGCAAAGATGTGTAGACATTGGAACCTTCATACAAAATTGGAAATGATACCAAAAGCACAGGCAAGAAAAGAAAAAACAGAGAAATTGGACTATTTCAAAATTAATAACCTGCCCATTAAAGGACACTATCAACAAAGTAAAAAGCCCACAAGATGACAGAAAATATATGCAGATCATATATCCAGTTAGGAGATAAAATCCAGAATATATAAAGAACTCCTACAACTCAACACCAAAAAAAGAAAAAAAACTTAAAAACAGGCAAAAGACTTAATATATGTTTCTTCAGAGAAAGCATACAAATAGCCAATAAGCACTTGAAAAGATGTTCAACATCATAAATCATTAGGGAAATATAAATCAAAACTACAATGAGATAGTGCTTTACATGCACTAGAAATTTTATTATTTAAAAAAAAAAAGAAAGAAAGAAAAATAGAAAATAGTAAGTATTAACAAGGATATGGAGGAATTGGACTCCTTGTGCACTGTTGGAAGGAATAAAAAATGGTCAGAGTTTCAGTTTTGCAAGATGAAAAGAGGTCTGGAAATAATGGAAATGACTGTATAACAAGTTGAATGTACTTAATGCCACTAGATGGACTGTACTGTTAAAAATGGATAAAATGGTAAACTTTTGTGATATGTATTTTATCAAAATTTTTTAAGTGACTGATTTGATGACAAGGTATAAAGTCATGGGCAAAAACTCAATCTTCTTTTCTCCCCATGTTCAATGGAGGATAGCCTGTTCAATGGAGGAAAGCAATATGGCAATTCTTAAAAAAAAATTAAAAATAAATTACCATTAAATCTAGGAATTTCCCTTCTGACTATCTATCCAAAAGAACAGAAATCAGGGACTTGAGCAGATAGTTGCATACTCATGTTCATATTAGCACTATTGATACTAGCCAGAAAGGTGAAAGCAACCCAAGTATATACTGATGGATGAATGGATAAACAAAATGTAGTATATACATACAGTGAAATATTATTCAGCCTTTAAAAAAAATAAGGAAAAAAATTAAAAAAGAAGGTAATTCTGACACATGCTATAAGACAGATGTATCTTGAGGACATTGTGCCAAGTGAAATAAGCCGGTCATTATATAAGCCAGTCATTTATTAATCATTAAATACTGTATGATTCCATTTATATAAGGTACCTAGAACAGTCCAACTCACAGAGACAGAAAGCAGAAGGGTGGTTTGCAGGGGCTGGGGAAGAGGGGAAATGTGGAGTTACTGTGTGGGTACAGAGCTTTAGTTTTGCAAGATGAAAAAAAGTCTAGAAATAATGGAAATGACTGTATAACAATTTGAATGTACTTAATGCCACTAGATGAACTGTACTGTTAAAAATGGTTAAAATGGTAAACTTCTGTTATGTGTATTTTATCAAAAAATTTTAAGTGATCTGATGACAAGGTATAAAGTCATAGACAAAAACTCAATCTTCTTGTCTCCCCATGTTCAATGAAGGATAGCATTAAAATCTATTTTTTTACTAAAATAGTATAAAAAAAAATCTATGACACTTTAAGTTATTGTGATTCATCTGATCTCTTGTTTTCATTACATATTTGAAATAAATCTGAGATTTAGTATTTTTTTCTCTAAGGCTAATTAAAAAAAAAAGATTAAAATTTAAAGCAGGATCCATACCTGATACAAAGCAAGTGAATGCCCATATCTCTGGAGAGGTCCCCTTGATACAGCTCCTACATTCCATATACTGCTTTCTAAATTGTAACTAAAAACAAGAAGAAAATAAATATAACTTCATAAGCTAAGATTCATTTTAGGTTTTTTAATTTGCATATGCTTTATTTGTATTTAAATATTCATTAAATTCAAAAACAATTACAAACAAACTCATAATTTCATATACCATATTAGAAATTTTTAATAAAGACTCATTCAACATATACCTACTCTAAATTAGGATTCAATCATCTAAACATGTAATATGCATTAACTTGACTAGGCTATTTATTACTGGAATTATTCTGTTCAGCTTAATCATTTGAACCAGTTGATTAACCTAAACAATAGTGAGCTCTTCTACACTTTTAAAGTCACAGGGGCCTCTTTGTTGCCTCTTGAAATCTCCAGGCAGCATCTACCTTAAGGCTTTTGTCTGGCTCTTTTCTCTGCCTCCAATTAACTGCACCACCACCGTCTGACCTCCTTCAAATCTGCTCAGTTCTCATCTTTCCCATGAAGTCTACCTTAACCACTGCGTTTATAACGGCAACCCCCTCCTCTTCAGCATTCCTAATTTCTTACCCCTGCTACCTATTTTCGGAGAAGGCAAAGGCACCCCACTCCAGTACTCTTGCCTGGAAAATGCCATGGGCAGAGGAGCCTGGAGGGCTGCAGTCCATGGGGCTGCGAAGAGTTGGACACGACTGAGCGACTTCACTTTCCTGCATTGGAGAAGGAAATGGCAGCCCACTCCAGTGTTCTTGCCTGGAGAATCCCAGGGACGGGGGAGCCTGGTGGGCTGCCGTCTATGGGGTCGCATAGAGTCGGACACAACTCAAGCGACTTAGCAGCAGCAGCAGCAGCTATCTATTTTGCTATCTATCTGTATCTATCTGTGTATATATGTGCATATACATAATTCACTTTGTTGCTGTTGTTCAGCAGGTAAGTCATGTCCGACTCTTTGCAACCCTACGGACTGTAGCCCGCCAGGCTCCTCTGTCCATGGGATTTTCCAGGCAAGAATACTGGAGTGAGTTGCCATGCCCTTCTCCAGGGGATCTTCCTGACCCAGGGATCAAACCAGAGTCTCCTGCTTGCCAGGCAGATTCTTTACCACTGAGCCACTTGGGAAGTCCTGTATACTTGCTTATCATGTTACTTACATTTTTTTTTCTAATTGTCTATCTTTACTCAGTACCTTCACAAAGACAGGACATTCATCATATCCACTGATATATCCCAAGCTGTTATTGTTCAGTCACTAAGTTATGTTTGACAATTTTGCAACCCTGTGCATTATAGCCTATCAGGCTCCTCTGTCCATGGGATTTCCCAGGCAAAAATACTGGAGTAGATTGCCATTTCCTTCTCTAGGCAATCTTCATGACCCAGGGACTGAACCCACATCTCCTGCATTGCACATGGCTTCTTTACCACTGAGCCACCTGAGATGTTCCATATCCCAAGTACTAAGCACATAATGTGTTCAAAACAATTTGCTATGCCCATGATGACAAGTTAATTTTCACTAATGTAAATGAATAAATATCCTGTAAAATACTCTCTAATAGACACTAATACAGAACGTTTACATCATTTACTGAATAATTTGTCTTAAATGTAACATGTACACCTCAATTAAATTCTATTATAGAAGATTAATCAACTTATTACTGACACCATCACTTCTAAAAAGCTTTTTAAACATCCTTACCTACAACTAAACCGCCTTCAGAATAATGAAAAAACATTCTCTAACCTGTGAAAACAGCAACAAAGTTACTTCTAATCTTATACCTCTAGTTTACTACAAAACTAAATAAACACTGTAACCAAAAGAAACAGGTTTCAGACAAAAAAAAAAAAATTATCTGGTTCAAATAGAAAATATATATTTAGGAGAATATCAGCAAAATTCATCACAATTTAAAATGTGCTATTTAACTTGAACACAAACTTTTAAGATTTCCAAGTTTCCTTGACAAGTATACTATCTTCACAACTCTACTTTGCAAATACCACAATTTAATACAAAATTGACTCTATTTTCACAAACTTTTCATCTTCATGAATCATAGTTAATTTCCTTTTCTTTTCCACATTTAAATCTCAGTTCCTCAAGTTCTTTGCATATCTTAATAATCCTATCAATTCTCTTTCAGTTCTTTCTACTATATTTTATCTTTCATTGCTATAGGATATCGAAGGATATTGTTATCCTTCATTTATTAAATGTTTACTTAAAATTCTTCCTCCCTCTCTTCAGAATTTATTTTACACTTTGATTCCAGTCATACTCAATCATAGTTTTAAAGCAATCTCCTCTTAAATACAGAATTTTTTAAACTCCCAAATTAATAGGGCTAATATATTCACAAATTAGGGTTTATAGATACAGAATGCCCAGTTAAAACTTAATTTCAAATAAACCACAAATTTTTAGTATAAGTATGATCCATGCAACACTCGAGATAAAACTGAAAAATAAAATAAAATTACAAAAGCCCTATTCATACTAAAAAATTATTCACTGTTGATCTGAAATTCAGATTTAACTGGGTGTCCTGTATATTTATCTGCTAAATATAGCAACCCTTTTGGGGCATACACCATATGCTATACTGTCCAAGGACATTTCCAAGTGCTTGATGCCCAAGTTACACCAGTCGTTACATATTATGAATATGACCCCTGAAAACAACACTGATAATCAAATTATTCTTATTCCCTCTTTTATTGTTATTGAGTAGTTCATAAAATACAATCACCAGATGAAAAAAATCAGATAAAGCTGGCATCCATGCAACTCTCCTTATCATCCAATTATGCAAAGGAAAATCTTCATTGAGTCCACAGTAAATCAATAACCTATCTTACAACACTGGTACCGCTCTACCAATAAAAGTTTGCAAAGTAAATGCAGAGTAAAAGTTTACGTAAATTAAAATTTGAGGAAAAAACTGAAAGTATTTTTATATAAGTAATTATACTTCATTCTGAAAAAATAAAAGGTGACCAGGATTCACAAAGGTCAATATAGGCCTGGCCTGGCCTTATTTAAAGCTAATACTTTCTTATTCAGAATTTAATAAAAGCACTCTAGAAAGTTAATGAAATGCCTACACAGAACAAACATATAGGCACAGTGACAAATAACTTTTGGATATACTGAGTTTATATATTCTTGAATCAGTCCCATGTGGAAAACAGATACCATTACAAAGACAACCATTCATAAATCGGCATAGCAATAAGACATTTAGGATAGTCTTCATTATCCAAAAATACCCAGCTTAAAAAATAGATTGTAAAAATATGGGGAAAAAACTTACTTCAAGACCATTTGAAAAGAACTGTAGTTAAAAGTATATCCACCGATCACCCACATAAACTTCCCATGTAAAACAGCTTTATGGGAAGCCCGACCTACGGAAGGACTGAAGGGTTTAACATTTGGCAGAATCCAGTAAGACTCAGTGGAAGGAACATTCAAAGAACAATCAGGACCTATTTAAAAGAAAAACCAAACAATGCAGTGCATTAAACAAAGACCTTCGACTACAGAAATAGAACATACGGGTTAAGAGAATTTAAGAATTCAATGCTCATCATACTAATAAATATAATGTATATAATAAATAGATAGTCTGAAATATAACTTACAGGAAAAACTAACAGCAAATGTAATGCTTACAGGAGGAAAAAAAAATCATATATTCAAATTAGGCTTGAATATGTTCAAATATATATCACAATTTGAAAGAATTCTTTTAATAATATAAATTTCAGATTTATTTTAGTATGCTAATATTCTACTTGAATATTAGAACAGAAAATGGAAAACGAAGTACTCAAAACCCAGTTCTGTCACTAAAAGTGTGACCTTGGGAAAGTCTGTTTCCCTCTGCCACCATCAAGCCTTCATCTGTAAGACAGAAATATCTCCTAAGGCTTACTATAAATATTTAATTTTTTTAAAACAGAAATTAAAGCATTTATAAATTGTAGCACTTTCTGTTTACAACTGTATTAAAGAAACACAAAAATAAAAATTACGTTTTTTTCTTAGCAGCATTCTTATTAAGAACAACCAAAATCAGCATTGGTAGGGAGGCTTACTGTCTATAAACTGAAAAAATTATTAGGCATAATAAAAAAAAATTAATGAGTACAGGATAACTTAAATACTGCAAGTTGAAAACACTGTCTTTTCCTATCCACATTCACTATGTTGCTCAAGAGTCTTGGTTCATCATCGGTAAAATGCAGCCGACTAGGCTAGATCAGTGTTTCTCAAACTTCAGTTATGGAAGGAATGCTCCTAACGGAAATATATTTATTTTCATCAAATTTAAGGGCTCATAAACTATTTTAATTCTAATGAAACTAATAGAAATATATTATGTTCAAAGTTATTTTATAAATATAAAACCAACATAAGCTTGTAAATATATTCATAAAGAAGCTTATAAAATCAGTAAAATTAATATTTGCTTAAAATGATGGATGATGTTGTTCTGCTCAAAGTAATTCATTAGACTCCAGTTGAAAATGATATTAATGCTATAGCACCTTTTTTACACAACTTTAAGATACTGTATTATTTTCACAAAACAATTCTCACAGCACTTTTCTTTCATCTACCATTTACAAATCTTTCTAATTTATAAAATAGACCATAACATCATTTGACCTCAACTTATCACAAAAGTATCAGTACATTTTATTATACCTTTTAGCCTATAATAAGACTATTACTTGGTCCTAACTCAACAGTCAACACAAATGCTGGCACTGAAATCAAGTAGCATTTTTACACAATTATGAAAGCAATGATTTCTTATCAAAAAAGTTTTAGATCATCACTGAATCACAAAATTTTACAACATTCAAACAGACCCTAATTTCAGAAATATTAACCTTTACAGTTTTTATTTGCTTATTTATTCACTCACCCATGCATTCATTCATTCATCTTCAAAGTCCTTTTCAAGGTTTACATTCTATGAGTCTGTATTTTTCAGGTAAAAATTAGACAGATCACCTCTTTGATAACAGAAAAATCTTTTAAATCAGATACAGAAAATTTTACCATTTCTAAGTGAAAAGTCAGTGAACTATACCTTAGTAAACAAAGAAATTAAAGGAACATATTGATTTTTTTTAAGTTAAAACTACAATTCTGAACCACTGAGGCCTCATTTAACTCAGGTTGGCAAACAACAGTCCATGAGCAAAATCCAACCCAATACATGTTTTTGTAAGTGAAGTTTTGTAAGAACACAGTAAGCTCACTCAGTTAAGTATTACTGAAGGCTGCTTTTGCCATACTCGGCAGAGTTGAGCAGTTTTGAGAGAGACCATACAATTCACAAAGCCAAAAATACTTCCTATATGGTCTGTTACAGAAAAGTTTGCCAACCTCCTAATTTAACTGAAAAGAAATGAGATCATATGGGCATTATACATAAGTGTTATACCTACTGGTCTGAATGCTAAATGCTGTTTTCTTTAAAAGAAAAATGTAGATTTCAGTCAGGAATAATAAACTAAAAAGTATAAAATGTTAATAATAGGTTAATCTGGGTAAAGGGCATTTGTATATTCTTTGTACAATCCTTGTTCTTTCAATTTTACTATAAATTTGAAACTCTTTCTAAAGAAAAAATAAAAATAAGTCTACCACCTAAAGGCACAGTGTTGGAAACAGTCAAATAATACATAGTTCTGCCTGGCAGAGGTTGATAGAGAATAATGTAAACTTCTTAAGATATTTAAATCAGTAATACATATATGAAGTCCACACTAAAACAAAATAGTTCAGAGCAAGCTTGTGGTAGGCTAAATAATGAGCCTCAAAGATACAGCAGGTTCTAATCACTAGAACCTATGACTCTTACCTTATCTAGCAAAAGGGACTCTGTAGATATAATTAAGGATCTTGAGCTGGGGAGTTATCTTGGATGAACCAAGTGGACTCTTCATGTAATCATACATGCCTTTCTAAGAGAGATTTGACTACAGAAGCAGAAATCAACAGGACCACTGAAGCAAGATGTTGTGCTCCATGCTTTGGAGATGGAAGAAGGGGAAAAAGCCAAGGAAAGCAGGCATTGCAACTCTATTGCTAGAAAAGCTAAAGATGCAGAGTCTTTCTTAAGAGCCTCCAGAAGGAGTGTGGTCCTGCCAGCACCTTGATTTTGGCTCAGTGAAACCGATTTCAGACCTCTCACCTCCAGAATGTTAAGAAATTAATAAGTATATGTTAAGACACCAAAGTGAAAGTCACTCAGTCGTGTCTGGCTCTTTGCAACTCCATGGACTGTCCATGGAATTCTCCAGGCCAGAATGCTGGAGTGGGTAGCCTCTCCCTTCTCCAGGGGATCTTACCAACCCAGGGATCAATCCCAGGTCTCCCACATCACAGGCGGATTCTTTACCAGCCACAAGGGAAGTCCAAAAACACTGGAATAGGTAGCCGCTCCCTTCTCCAGGGGATCTTCCCAACCCAGGAATCAAACCAGGGTCTCCTGCATCACAGGTGAGTTCTTTACCAACTGAGCTATCAGGGAAGCCCCCGTTAAGACACCAAGTTTGTAGTAATCTGTTACAGCAACTGTAGGAAACTATTGGAAGGACTGATGCTGAAGCTGAAACTCCAGTACTCTGGTCACCTCATGCGAAGAGTTGACTCATTGGAAAAGACCCTGATGCTGGGAGGGATTGAGGGGCAGGAGGAGAAGTGGGTGACAGAGGATGAGATGGCTGGATGCCATCACCGACTCGATGGACAGGAGTTTGAGTAAATTCCGGGAGTTGGTGATGGACAGGGAGGCCTGGTGTGCTGCGGTTCATGGGGTCGCAAAGAGTCAGACACGACTGAGTGACTGAACTGAACTGAACTGAATGCGAATGACTAAAATTTTTGATTTAACTTATGTAAGATAAATACTGTTATTTAGTATTGGATAAATCCAAGAAATTGGATTTTAGAGATTTTACAATTTTACTCTGCAATCTGGAATATCTACTTTTCTATGTAAAACAGCAAATTTTTCCTGTCTTCGTTACTACCGTATTTTCTATAACTTCTAGAAGGAATGGTTAACAGCCAAACTCTACAGATTGTCATCATTTTACTCTAAATTAATAAGCTTATATACAGAATGAAAGATTTATGAATATGACTTAAAAGTTTAAGGAAAATTAGATGTCTTAATTTGTAGCTTTCTGTACTCTACAACTAAAATGATTAAAAGAGTAAAATTTACATACTGAATGTTAGTTAAAAACACAAATAGCTATAAAGAATGCATTATACACACAAAGGCTCTACCACCCATTAAATATCATTTAAGGCCACCCAAGACTCCCATTTCATAAAAATACACCCATGAAAAATCCACCACTTTATTATCTGGACACTTATGGAATATCTCTGTATAATTCTCCCTGTATAACTTTCATCAATCAATATGGGAATCTCCTCAAGGTAAGCAGATTACAGCTTTCTTGAAAAAGATGTACTAAACTAATTCAAGTTACAGTGTATTTTAATAAATATTTAACATGCTACCTTTTCCACAGGTTAATCCAAAGAGCAAAAATGAATTTCTAATGATGTAACTTTTGGCACTAGTGACAGGCTACTGAGAAACAAATTTTTGAGGCAATTCTATAACCCAAAGTAGAATTATACTCTGCTGCTCCTGCTGCTGCTGCTGCTGCTGCTAAGTCGCTTCAGTCGTGTCCGACTCTGTGCGACCCCATAGACGGCAGCCCAGCAGGCTCCCCCGTCCCTGGGATTCTCCAGGCAAGAACACTGGAGTAGGTTGCCATTTCCTTCTCCAGAATTATACTCTGATCCCTCTCAAATGTATATCCCCATCCTTATAATCTCTCTTGAATTCTAGACTCAAAATTAAACTACCTACATATATTATCTCTTTGCTTATTTAACTTATATGCAGAGTACATCATGTGAAATGCCAGGCTGGATGAAGCACAAGCTGGAATCAAGATTGCTGGTAGAAATATCAATAACCTTGGATATGCAGATGACACCATTCTTATGGCAGAAAGCAAAGAAGAACTAAAGAGCCTCTTGATGAAAGTGAAAGAGGAGAGTGAAAACGTTGGCTTCAAACTCAACATTCAGAAAACCAAGATCATGGCATCTGGTCCCATCACTTCATGGCAAACAGATGGGAAAACAATGGAAACAGTGACAGACTTTATTTTTTGGGCTCCATAAATCACTGCAGATGGTGACTGCAGCCATGAAATTAAAAGACGCTTGCTCCTTGGAAGAAAAGCTATGAACAACCTAGACAGCATATTAAAAAGCAGAGACATTACTTTACCAACAACGCCAGTCTAGTCAAAGCTATGGTTTTTCCAGTAGTCATGTATGGATGTGAGTGTTGGACTATAAAGAAAGCTGAGCACCAAAGAATTGATGCTATTGAACTGGAGTGTTGGAGAAGACTCTTGAGAGTCCCCTTGAA